GTTTCTAAGTTGTGTCACCTACAGGTCTACAGTTTGATTTTATTGAGTTTGGTACACAGTTCTTTGTATTCATTTGTGTCACTGCCTCTAGCGAGCTTCAGGCCTGGGCTCTTATGTTAGACTTCCACCATGGTTCTCCATAGCCCCAGCTCTTGGTTTACTGCTCTCCATCTCCTATGATCCTATGCTGTGGCCACACCATTGTCTGTACAGCCTTTCTTCAACTTTTGGGTCAAGCAATGCACAGGGTTAGGGAGACACCCGCTGTCCTAAATAATTGGGTTGTTGCTATTGCTGTTGCTGATCTTTCCTAAACCTGTTGACCTTTAGGTCTAAGGGCCATCTGGACCTCCAGAGTACTACATTGGTAACGTTTTTCCTGGGGGACAAGTTTAATGCACTGAGCCTGAAATGATTTTGCTGCCAGCTTAGCACATGTGCAGCTCACTGTTATTCCTCTAGCCCCACAGCCTTTGCCACACTACACAAAATGGTGCCTGATGTGGCACTGGTGAAGTTCTGGATCTGCTGGCCCTTAGGTCTAGTGGCCAGTTAGACCTATTTTGGGAGGACCTATAGAATGTTATGTTGGAACTGTTTTCTCTGGGGACCAGGGCAATTCACTGAGCTGGATGTGATTTTACTCCTAGTCTAGTGTTTGTGCAGCTTGCTGTTGTCCTTTCATTCTCACAGCTTTTGCCCCTGTGCACAAAATTTTGCCTGATCACTCCAGGTTTAGTGCATATGCAGATTACTGTTGTTCCTCTAGTCCCCCAGCCTTTGCCCCACTTCACAAAATGGTGCCTGACCTGGAAGTGGTGGAGTTCTTGGTCTGCTTCCTGTTAGGCCTGGAGCCACTTGTTGAGTGGAACCTGCAGGATGATTTTTAGTGGTAAACTCATTCTCCTTTGTGCAAATTATTGTTTTCCTCTCCATCCTCAATCTAAGCCTATAACCAATTTCTGTGTTATAGAGAAAATAGAAGCCATCATTAGGAATTTTCATCTTCTAGCTCCTACACATACAAACCTGCAGATTTATGTTGATGTTTTGGATCTTCTAATCTCTGTCTTCTCAAAAACTCAAAACATTGGTGATTTCTTTATTCCTAATATATTGAATCATGGCTTTTCAATCTCAGTTTTTCATCAATTTGATCCAACCTTATTCTTTTATTACCATTATACTACATTCCTTCCTTTCTAAGCAAACTTTTTACAAGAGTCATTTTTGTGCATCTGCAGTCTCATATCTGAAGTGCTTGGGGCTAAATTTGACACAAGTTTTTTGAGTTAGAAAACCATTAGCATATACATGCTAGTCCTGGTGCTATTACCCTCTTGGTGCTGGAGCAGTACTCTGAAATCAAACAGATTGTTATTCCATGAAATATATAGCTCTTCAATTGAAGTAAATAAAGACTATAGATAAAATACCATGTGTCAGTTTATGTCACATTTTGCGTCCAAATGAGTTATTAAAAATATATATATATCGGGATGCTGTCATGGTGGTATAGCTTTAATGCTTCGCCTGCAGTATCAGCTTCCCATATGGATGCTGGTTTTTGACCTGGCTGCTTCCATTTGTGATCCAACTTCCTGCTAGGAAGACAATGGAGGATGGCCCAAGTCACATCCCTGGGCCCCTTCACTCAAGTGGGAGATCCAGAAGAAACTCTTGGCTCTTAGCTGTGGACCAGCTCAGCTCTGGTCATTGCAGTGAGTGAACCAGCAGGTGGAAGATTCTCTCCCTCCCTTGCTTTCCTCCTCCTCCTATTTCCTGCGACCCCCTCCCAAAGTAAAAAATAAACACGCACACGAAACCTGGGGGACAAGTGTTGCTTAGCTGGCTGAACTGTTGCTTTGGACTTACTCCATATCAGGGTACATGGGATCAAGCCCTGCTTCTGCTTCCAGTGTGGCTTTCAGCTGCCATGCCTGGGAGGGAGATCCTGGCAGAGGTGCTTTGGTTCCTGCCACCCACATGAGACACTGTGACCTGGCCTTGTCCTGTTGGATGTGGACATTTGGGGAATGAACCAGCAGATGGAAAATCTCTTTGTATTTCTGTATTTCTCTGTGTGTCTTGCCTCAAGTAAATCAATAAATCAGTCTTAAAACCAAAGCTAAAATGTTCTTATTGCAGCGTCTTGGGATTTGAAAATTATAGTTAAGAAGTTGTGGAGCTGACAGTGTTGTAGTGTGGTGGGTTAAGCCACTGATTGTAGCACTGGCTGGCTGGCATTCTATGTGAGTGAAGGCTCAGGTTGCTGCTACTTGTGGTCCAGCTTCCTGCTAAATGTGCCTGGAAAAGCTACAGTAAATGGCCTGAGTAGTTGGGCCGCTGCCACCCACATGGGAGACGCAGAAGTAGCTCCTGTTTTCTGACTTCGGCTTAGCTCACTCTTGGTTGTTGTAGCCAATAGGGGAGTGAACCAGTGGGTGGAAGATATGTCTGTCTGTCTGTCTCTCTAATTTTGCCTTTCCTATAAGTAAGTAAGCAAGTTTAAAAAAAAATCCCTCAGAAACAAACAAAAAAATGTGGATATATACTTTTGCTCGTTTCCCCTTATTTTTTACCCATCCTGGCTTTTTTTTCCCTCAGTTCTTTCGCATGGCTCTTTCTAACCTCCCAGACCTTCAGGGTACCTGTCACCACTGCCCGGCTGGCTGCCTGAGATCCTGGTGATGCTGGCTTCCTGGGGCTTCCTTTGGCTTGCCTGCACCTGTTTGTGGGTGTGTAGGCCCCGGGCTTGTAATCAGGCGCTGCAGTCCTTGCATGGCTTTGGTCCGAGGGCGTGGCCTCTCGTGTTCTCTCCCTTGGGACCCTCACGTGGATCTGTTGATTAGGTGCTGCTGAGGCTCAGATACATCTCGAACTCAGGCCTCCCCTTTGAGCTCGACCAATAGGTTTAACCGTTCACTTGATGTTTGCTTTAGAAAGTCTCATTATGGACCAAATCCTAGTCATCTCCCATGTCTAATTTGTTTTTAGTTGTTTGGGTGCTTTGGGCTTTCTTCTCTATTCCCGTGTCCCCCCCACCCCCACCCCACACACACTTTGTTACCTCATTTTGATAGCTTCCACTCTGTGAGAACAATAGAATCTTTTGTTTGTTTTTTAAAGATTCATTTTGTTTCCTGTTGGAAAGGCAGATTAATAGAAAGGAGAGACAAAGATGTTCCATCTGCTGGTCCACCCCACCGTGACCACAAAGGTCAGAACTGAGTCCATACGAAGCCTGGAGCCAGGAGCTACTGGCTTCTCGCACATGGTGCAGGGCGCCAAGGCCCTAGGTCATTCTCTTCTGCCCTCCCAGGCTACAAGCAGAGAGCTGGACAGGAAGTGGAGCAGCCGAGACACGAAACACTGCTACATGGGGTCCCAACACCTGGAGGAGGAGGACGACAAGCTGATTGAGCCATGATGCCAGGCCCACAATAGAATTTTTTCTACAGCCTGGGGGTGCTGCTGGGCCTGCCCACCTCTCCAGTTTCATTTGGCTCCCCCTCTGCACTCACAGGTGCTGAAACTACTATGTGTGAAATGCTTTTTGCTTCTTTGCCTCTGTGCCCCTTATCCACCCTCTCTCTCTCTCTCTTTTTTGTTAAGGTTTTGATTTATTTGAGAGCCAGAGTTAAAAAGAGAGACAGGGAGGGAGAAAGAGTGGCAGACAGAAAGGGAAAGATATATATAAAACATATATAAAGAGAAAGGAAGAGGCAGGTAAGTCTTCCACCTGCTAGTGCTGGCTCACTCCCCCAATGGCTGTAGCAGGCAGGGCTGGACTAGGCTGAGCCGGAAACTCCATCTGGGTCTCCCAAGTGTTTGGCAGGAACTCAGGTATTTGAGCTGACATTTGCTACCTGCCAGGCCTGTTAGCAGGAAGCTGAATTCTAAGTGCAGAGTAACAAGGATTCAAACCATTTCCTCTGATGGTGGATACTGGCAGCCTAAGCAGAAGCTTATTTTCTGCACCACAAAACTGGCCCTGGTGCCCCTCAATGTCTAGCTCTAATTCCTACTTTCCTAGGAAAGCCCTCTCATTCGGTTACACAAATATCAAATCTTACTGTATCATATACAGATTATTTGTAGCACTAATGGAAATTGTAATTTTATGGCTTTTTTTGATTACGTAATTTTCCTCTGTATACTGCGGACTCCCTTAGCACGAGCACTGTGTGTGTTCTTGTTCACTATTGTGTCTATAGTGTGGTTGTAGTGTGTAATAGGCACTTAGCAATCATTTTGAATGAGCTCTGTATATTAATTCATCTCTTCTAATTATTTAATAGATTCTGTTTATGTATTTACCAAACATTAGCACTTGTATTTTTCACACTTTTGTATGGATCTGATTCTCTTGGTACTCTTTGAAGAGTATAAAGATAGATTCGAAAAATAGTTAGGTATAAGGGTTACATGCAGTAAAGTCTTCCTTTCCTATACTCGTAATTCAGTTTTATGAATTTTTTCCTACAGTGATATGTTCTTCCATGTTGTCTGCAAATATCATATATCTTACATACAGTGTTCACAATTCAGCAGATTCTTGACTTGCTCATCAATTTATAAATCGCACAGGATTAAAAATAGTTTTACCATCTGCTAACTGACCACGCAATTTTAGTATTGTGAAAGGGTGTGGTAGGAGATGGGGGTATGGGGTCTAGGTGTCATGTCAGAACAAGGCTTGCACAAACCACCACGAGGCCTCCTAATACTGAAACTCACAGTCAGTTCAAAATTAGGAAGAGATTTGGTCGAGGTTCAGCTTGGGAGAGGCCTGACATAGGGGATTTCCCAGAAGAGGGTGATAAAGGAATGTCTTTCGGTATTTTAATATGAAATTGACTATTTTTTTTCTTAAGGGAAAAGACATGCATTTTTAAAGATGTGAAGAATATAAAGATTATAAGGAGTAATTTAAATTCTATGTAATATGTAGTCTGAAAGTCAAGTTGAATTAAACTTTTGTTTTATTTCTTAATTAGGAAAATCATTAGGTTCCCAGTCATCTCAAAGTGATGCTGAAATTGTGCCAAAAGTTACCAAAATGACTGTGTCTGGAAAGAAGCAAACAATGGGATTTGAAGTGCCTGCGTAAGAGTTTTAACTTTCCTTCCCTGTTTTAAAGTTTCCTATTGGTTTGTAAGAGAGTTTCAGTTTTGCATAATATATCATTAGCAGTGAAGTGTATCATATGTCTTCAGTAGAAAGAAAAGGGCTGAGAAATTGGGCTTGATTGGAGTCTTTGTGTGTTCCTTACTGTCATTGTCAGCTTCCTTACATAAATAATTAATATTTTACAAAACCAAGGTATCCTTTTAGGAGATGCTGCTCCGTGAGACAGGGAGTTTTTGTACCACTAGGTGGCGCAGTTAGGCAGGGCTTGGGAGTTGAATGTAAGTGAATCATGGACTTGCCATTTAAGATTTTTTAATTATTGAAACAGTATTCTTTCAAATTTTCACATTCAATAAAACGTATCACAGTAGAAAATACTAAATGAAACATACATGGAATTTCAAAGATTTTGGAAAATGGTAATGATTTATACCTTTGTAACACTAAAATGTTCTATTTCTTATCTCAGTCTCTAGAATTCTTCAGGAGATTTCACAGACAGAAAATGGGTTGTTGAAGCTAAGAAGCATTGTTTGAAATTATTAATGTTAACTTCTTTAACATTTTCAGATTTTTTAAATTCTCTAAGTCTGTGATTTATAATCTATATTTTCAACGAGGATTGAGAAGAAATATTATCAAATATAACAATAGAGTATTTTCTTAGCATCAAGAAATGAACTGTTTAGTCTTATATTTTCTTTTTTATTACATTCTTTTAAGTTAATGGATGTATCATGATGACTGGTGGGACTTAATGTTCATCTAGTTGAATTTTTGGTTTTCAAAAGAGCAGAACTATTTAGCAGATTTCAGTTCTAATTAGAAAAGACTTTATATGAGAGATTGTGGGTGTTCACTTTAAAAATTTTTAAAACGTACATGAAAGACAGAGTTATAGAGAAAGAGATCAGATTTCTATCCACTGGCTTATTCCCCAAGTGGCTACAACACCTGGGTTTATGCCAGGTTGTATCCAGGGGCCTGAAGCTTCCATCACATCTCCCACGTGGGTGCAGGAGGGGCCCAAGCACCTAGGCCGTCTACTGCCTCTTGCCAGGCGCATTGGTTGGGTTGGCAACACACAGAAGATGCTGGCATTGCAGCGCCTATCCTGTTATGCCATAATCCCCAGTTTATGTGATCAAGTATTGTTTGAGAGAAAAACATAATTTTCTTGTTTTCAGTTACTTCAGTCTAGTAAATTGTGTGAATTCTGATGGAGTCATGAAAATCCCAATGAATGTTTTTTCTTTCTGAATTGAGGTTAAGGACTTATAATTCCCTTTTTATCTTTATGTCCTGAGTACCATTTATTTCTGTTATGAAGTTATTATATTGAGAGAGGAAAATAAGATGTATTTCTCTTTATTGTAAGGATTTTTTTTTTGATTAAGAATTTTGTTTTTTTCTTTATAGTAACGATGTTGTGGGGTTTTTTTTTTGTTGTTTTTATTGTAAGCATTTTGTTATTTGAGGATCAGAGTGAAAGACAAAGAGAGAAACCTTCCATCTGCTGGTTTCGTCCCCCAAATGCTTGTGCTAGCCAGGACTGAGCTTTACCAAAGTCAGGAACCTGACCTCCACGTGGGTCTCCCAGGTCTGCTGCACGTGGGTCTCCCAGGTCTGCTGCAGGGACTGAGCTGCTAGAGTGTCATCTGCTGCTTCCAGAGTGGAACTCCAACCCGAGCATTCCCATCTTACTGTAAAAGGTTTTACAAGTCTTAGCATCATGCAAATGAGCCCAAGCTTTCCATGCTAAAACAAAATGCTTAGCTTTTAAATTGAATACTTATTAAAGTAATAGATAATAAGTGATGAAATGATAAAAACAGTCAATCCAACTAAGTAATTATTGAAAATGCAACTTATTATTTAAAAAATGCAAAACAGGGCCCAGCTCAGTAGCCTTGTGGCTAAAGAACATGCCTTGTACACACTGGAATCCCATATGGGTGCTGGTTCATATCCTGGTGGCCCCGCTTCCTAGCCAGCCTCCTGCTTGAGGCCTGGGAAAGCAGTTGAGGACGGCACAAAACCTTGGGACCCTGCACCTTCATGGAAGACCCGGAAGAAGCTCCTGGCTCCTGGCTTAGGATCGGCTCAGCTACATCCATAGTGGCCACTTAGGGAGTGAATCATCGGACTTAAGATCTTCCTCTCTGTCTTCCTCTCTGTGTATCTGACTTTCCAATAATAAACAAACAAACAAACAAATAAATCCTTTTAAAAATATGACACAGACCTTCCCAAAGTTTGCTGGATTGTTTCATGAGGAAAGTGATTGTTCCTGCTCGCCATTGTGTTGCTTCTGCAGAGCAGTCATTAAAATGTGATCGCAGCCTTTGACAATACAGTGTGAAGTTAAGGTCTGTGAGTCACCATCTTAATGTAGCCACGTGGAAGTTGTCAGAAAGTAAACATTTGTAGCTCACTTTGAGATACGCAGAAGTGCTTGGTCGTGCTAAGGCCAATCAAGCTGTTATTGTTGTTGTTATTATTTCTTTTCCTCTCATTCTATACTTTTATAGAATTCTTCTTTTTTAATTTTGAGAAAAGTTACTTTAATTTTCTCATCTGATCTATGAAATAAGAAGTTGATCATATTTAGAGTAGAATTTAGAAAAACTTATGTTGGAAGTATTAAAAATCAAACTTAACTATAATACTATTGTTTCTAGAGTATGCCTAAAAGAAAAATGTAATACTCAGTGGGATAAGTTTAAAAAAAAACAAGAATGATGTTACAAATGAAACTACTGTGCCTCTTTTCCTGAGATTTAGAATGAGAATTAGTTTCAAGGATATAAAAATAGGGGGAAATTAATGTTATTTTTTAACAGTGAACAGAAAACAGATTTGTTGTTACATATTTTCATTATGCCGTAATTTTAAGTGATTATTGCACATTGTTTATTTAAATGTTTATTCCATACAGAGTTGAATATAGCTGGCTTTTAAAAAAAATTAATTATTTATTTGAAAGTTAGAGAAAGAGAGAGAGGATTACAGAAAGAGATTTTCCATCTGTTAGTCCCTTCCCAGATGCTGCCAGTCCTGGGTCTGGGCTAAGCCCACGCTAGAAGCCCAGCACTCAGTGAAGGTCTCCTGCGTGGGTGTCAGGGACCCAGAGAGTGGAACAATAGCCTGTTACTCCCAGTACACATTAGCAGGGCAGCAGGATGGCAAGAGGACATGGGACTTGATCCCAGGCACTCCCAGATGAGCTGTAGTTTCAGAAGTGTGCAGCCTCTGTGCCTCAACCCACTGCGCGCCAGCTCAGGACTCCTTGTTTCATTCCTATGAACTTGCAGCTTAACTGCTCTTAGTCCTGTTAATAATTGTTGAAGGAAATGGCAGGCATACTGTAGTCTTCCTGCTTAGATAAGCTGTGTAGTTATCTATGTGCTAGCACCAGGACTGGTTTCTATTGGGAGTGGGCAAACGGAAAACTGAAGTGGAAGTTTACTTTTAGAAATATCAGCATTATCAACAACAAATATATAAAATCTGGCGATTTTGTCTATACATTTGAATTCCTTGCTAGATTGTAAGTTTTTAAGAGTGGTGGTGAAATTTTTTATTTTCATACCTTTCATTAGTATCAGTGCCTAGTATTTGTTATGGTTCTTTTTTTTTAAAAATTTTTTTTTAAAGTGAAAAGCCAGATTTACAGAGAAAAGTACAGACAGAAAGATCTTCCTTCTGCTGGTTCACTCCCCAAGAGATCATGAGGCTAGAGCTGAGCCTATCAGAAGCCAGGAACCAGGAGTGTCTGCTAACTCTCCCACGTGGGTGCAGGGTCCCAAAGCCTTGGGCCATCCTTGACTGCTTTCCCAGGCCACAGCAGGGAGCTGGAAGGGAAGTGGAGCTGCTGGAATACGAATGGAATGAGTGCCCATATAGGATTCTGGTGCCTGCAAGGCGAGGACTTTAGCTAGTTAGGCTACCGTGCTGGGCCACTGTTTCAAGTTTTTAATAGTTGAGTTTACTGAATTAATAAATTCAAGCACCTTTGACAGGCAGTTAGGAGCAAAACTATTTTTTATTACTGATTTATCTCCAGTAACATATTATGTCATTTAAAAGAAAACTTCCTTTAAACCTACTTCATGCCATCTTTTTTGCTAAGATTATATGGCCAAGGTTTTGGTTTTGGTTTTATATTTTAGTGATTTTACAAGACTTTTTTTGCTTGTGGTCTTCAGGTCTGTTTTTATGTGTTTGGGGCTGCGTTTGTCATTTACAGCTTAGCAAACTCTAGCCTCGTAGTAGAGGTATTTTGGGTCTGGATTACAACGTTACGAGAAAGAAAGGACTTCTCGATAGAGCCACTTTAAAACACTGCTCTCCTAATTGCTTTCTGTAGAATAACTTCCCAAGAGAATGGCCATGGTTTGCACACACCTCAGAAAGGTGAAGACGCAAGCAGCGCTGCTCCTGGTCCTCCGGAGGCCACGTCCAAGGCAGCGGCTCCCGCTCACCCGGGGCCGGCGTCTGAAGAGCAGGGCTCCACGGCCGCACTGGGCAAAAAGGCTGGCAAGGCGCGGCAGCAGATGGACGTGAAGGCAGAGCTGGAGAAGCGACAAGGAGGGAAGCAGCTCCTGAACCTGGTGGTCATTGGTAATGCCCTTTGATCCTCGGCTGCACGGTCCTGCCGCAGGAGAGTTTCTGTTGCAGTGTGGTGGTCCTGAAGCAAGGAGGCATTGCATCATAATGCTTTCTCGTCACCCTGCTGGGATGATGCCACCCTGCCTGGGAGGGCAGGAGACCTGGGTGTGGCATTTCCAGTTAGTGAACATTTTCAGAATGACCATGTCTTGCTGAAAATTTTAATTCATAAAACTTAGGGAAATCTCCCCTTCTCTAAAAAGACATGCTTTTTAAAAATTTGTCCGCTTTTTATGTCACTTGGTAAAAACTAGTATTCATTCTAAACACTGAGATGAACTATCAAATTACACATTCATGCAATGCCTCAATGTGAACAGCCTGTGAAATGTACCTGGTATTAATCTCGAATCAATTTTCCTTAGGTCATGTTGATGCTGGGAAAAGTACTCTGATGGGCCATATGCTTTATCTGCTGGGTAATGTAAACAAAAGGACTATGCATAAGTATGAACAGGAGTCTAAAAAGGCTGGCAAAGCTTCGTTTGCATATGCGTGGGTCTTGGATGAGACTGGCGAAGAAAGGGAAAGGTAGTCACTATATTTCAGAATTTTCAGTTTGAAATGGCAGTCTTTTGAAATTAACAAAACGTGAATATATGTAACATACCGTGAAATATTCTAGAGACTATGTTCAGAAAAAGACTTCTAATTATCAGGGAGAAGTAAATATCTTTGATTTTTACTCTTCCAAATTCCACAAGAAAAAAATTAAAACAATGTTTATCAAAGCCAAAATGAAAACCACACAGAAAGTTTTTACAACCCTAAGCTGATTATCCTATGCAAGAAGTTCAACTTACTACTTCCCTTTATGTCAGATTATCTTCATACTAAATTAACATTAAGAGTGAAACTTAAGTTTTGTATTAGGTTGTAACAAAAAAAAAAAAGGTAGCTCTAATAAACTCTCTTCTTTCTAGATCAAAATGACTGTTACATCGAAATTACCATGCTTGTTTTATAAAAAAATAATTAAACATGTGTCCTGCCGCAGAGCTGTAATTCAGTTGCCCCCTCTGCCTGTGCTGCTGTCAGTGCTGTGTCCTGCGGGTGGCGCAGGCAGGGTTTGCAGCAGGGGACTGAGCTGCTCACGCGCCTCTGGCCACTGCAGTGTTTCATTCTAGAGTGCTGATTGTACATAGTGATCTGTATCATGGGGGGCTGTACACAGTGGGAGAGCCAAGGACACCGTGATGGTAAAAAAAAAAATAAAGTACACTGCAGCTCCATCAGCTGTTTCCGAATAACGACTAACAACCTATAAAGACCCGTGAGAGTCCTGAATTAATGAAGGAATGAGTTACAGTCTCTCAATTTCTTCAGTCTGAATATGATTAGAGATAACTAGATTTTCATACTTTTTCATGGATATATTTATTTTCTTAGGCCTGCCTAATCTGCATAATAATACATAAGGTAATTCTTAGTAAAATTGGTCATGGTGACTTTATGTTGCAGTGGGATTTTTTCCCCCTTGTAGGTGCCTTTTAAATTTTGTAAGGCACCATGAACCTGTTTTCCACCATAATAAGTTACCAGTTTTTGGAAAACAGAGTTGTGTATGACATCAATATTAGAAGAAAAAATAATTTCTTCTTATCACCACAGCAGGTAGATTGCTTCTTAGTTTTCTTTGTGTCATCAAGTAAATAAGTGAAGAGACTGGCTATAATTTGGGTGTGAGTGATTTGGTTGAATTTAATTAATTTGTGAGTTAAGCTGGCAAATGAATTAATGATCCATTTGATTCCTATTAATTATCAATCACTTTAGGGATTCTTTTTTTGGATAATATTTTCATGTTGACTTTTGTTTTTAATGTTGCTAGTCCTTTATTTCTCAGTGTTATTTTTAGAATATCTCTTTCTTCTATAATAAATCTTTGTAGATTATTTATTAAGGAGAATTAATGCATCATATTGGCCTGCTGTTACATATGACTTGGCCAAGGAAACCATATGCACCTTGCTGTGAGGGAGAACCTATAGTTTTATTAAAACTCTTTTAATAATGAAAAACCGTGCTATATTATTCATTCTTTTGAATGAACCAGGGGCAAACATAGATTATTGCTCATATGATTTCCCCTTCTAAATTCCAGAGGTCTAGAATAATTCAGTGATTTTAATAAGGTCTTCCCTTAGCTTTTTTAATAATACATTTTGACTGGAAAGAAGCATTGTGTTGGTCTCCAGTGGAGATGGAACAGGATAAAAAGCAAACTGCCATTTGTTTCTCTCAGTTTTTAAGAAGTTGGGCCACTGTTTTGATGCTCCATGTTTTCTAAAAATATTCCATATTGACCACCCTTGCACAGGAAGGTTCTTAAGCTTGCAGTAAGAACATGGAACATGTGGACGTTACCTCTTGCGAGCAGCTTGCGTGTTGTCTTTTCTCATGTACAGCATTTATTCCTCCCCACTAGTGATGTCCGCACATATTTTCTTCATAATGTATATTATTTCTTACTGAGGAAACAAGGAAGTGGGGAAAAAATTAGTTTTTGATTGAATTCTTGTTTTATCCACAACCTTGTTTTAATACCATACCAATATAATTGTATTACAGCAGAAATTCCAGCACTAATTGGTACCTTAATTATTCAAAATAGCGATTTACGTAATGCTATTCCCATTATCACATAGGAGGTTAGATTGTCAGCCTGTAATTCCATGATGTAATCCGCAACACTGCTTCTTGTATGAATTGCGTTTTAACCATTTTTGTTTTGGTCAGGGGAGTCACAATGGATGTTGGTATGACAAAATTTGAAACCACTACCAAAGTGATTACGTTAATGGATGCTCCAGGCCATAAGGATTTCATTCCCAACATGATTACAGGAGCAGCCCAGGTACTTGATATTTCGTTAACTGTGGTGTTCTGACTGACTGCCTTTAACATTTCTGAGGTTGTAACTCTGAGATTTTAAGTTTTAAAATTTTAACTTTAAAAAATTTTGGAAAAAAAAGAAGAAATGCTGTATTTTTATTATTTGTTTACCTGTGGTTTATAAACCTTTTGGTTTGTTACAAGGAAATGTATAAAAATAAAGAAATTTTTCCATAGCCGGAATAGTGGAAAACTATTTGATGAAGAATAGCTTTATATTCCATTCAACGATAAATTAGTTATTGTGAAGGTATAACTTATTTTGCTCTATTTATATTCAGTTTCCATATTTTTAAATTAAAAACATTTTTACCTGTTTATTTTTATTTGAAAGGGGAAGAGAGAAAATTAGGGAGGGAGAAAGAGAGAGAGAGAGAGAGAGAATCTTTCATCTGCTGATTCACTTCCCAAGTCCCTATAACTGGTGGGCCTGGACCAAATGAAAGGACGAGGAGCTCAGTTCAGGTCTCCCACATCAGTGACAGAGACTCCGCTTCCTGGCCATCGGCTGCTGCCTTTCGTGGTGCACATTAGCAGGACACTGATGCTGGAAGCAGAGCTGGAACTCAAGGCCAGGCACTCGCGTATGAGACGTGGGTCTCCCAAGCCTCATTGTAATTGTTGTACAAACCACCTACCCTCTGTGTTTTTTTAAACTAATTCATGCAGAAATAATAAAGTTTATTTACTTCATTTACATTTAAAAATACAGTTGGCTCTCTGTTTTCTCTTGCTTGTGTGGATTCAGCCAACTACATGTAGAGAGTATTAAAAACAAGACAACATGAAACATCTGTACCCAACACGTGCAGATTGTTTCTGCTTGTTATTCCCTAAGCAATACAGTATGACAGCTATTTATATAGCATTTGTATTGTATTGAGTATTATAAGTACAGAGGGATGAGATTGAACATGTAAAAGAATATCATGAGTTATCTGCAAATATTACACCATTTTATATAAGGAACTTAAACGTCCTCAGGTTTTGCTGCCTGAAGGGATCCAGAAACAACAATCTCTGGAGGAGACTGAAGGATGCCTGTGATTGTAATTTTTAATATACATAATTGTTACTAAGGAAACTGGAAAAAAAAAAGACCCAAAGATTGGTAACTTTAAATGGCGAAAGCAATGAAAATATTTGTAAAACTAAATGGCATTGATTTCTTTCATAATGGTTCATTATTGAAAACCATGAAGAGTTAAAAAATTTGCCTCTGACATGTAACAAAAGTATGACTTTAAGTTCCATTCTTGAAAGAGAATTTTAGGGGTAGTCATTAAGTGGATTAAGCTACCATCGGGCATGCCTGCATCCTGTTCTCGGAGTGCCAGTTAGAGTGTCAGCTATTCTGCTTCCCATCCTACTTCCTGCTAATGCGTTCTGAGACACAGCCGAGACAGTGCAGCACTTAGACCTTTGCCACCCACATGCCAGAACTGGATGGAAGTTCGGGCTCATGGCTTAGGTCCAGTCCAGCTCCATCTATCACAGGCATTTGGAGAGATAACCAACAGATGAAAAACAGTCATACATTTAAAAAGAGAGTGCCGATATCAACTCTTGTCAACCTAAAGGAATACTGTATGAGGAAAAGTGAGTATATGTGAAGATGAACGAGAAATTATTGGTTTCCATTTTAGAAAGTTGATATATAATGTTAACATTAATGAATGAATGTTATTAAAAATTGAAATATAGCCAATGCTGATTGAATACCTAATTGGCCCAGACACTCACTAGCTATGTGCCAAGTGCAGTGGCAGGAGTGTGAGGGTGGAATCACAGTGAAGCACTTTGGGAGAATTTAGCAGGGGCAGGCAGTCAATAACAGGACAAGTAGCTCTTGCCAAGGTTTTACCTTAGAGTCCATCTGCTGGCTCACTCTCCTAGTGGCTGCAACAGCTGGAGCTGAACCTATCAGAAGCCAGGAACTAAGAGTTTCCTCTGGGTCTCCCATGTAGGTGCAGGATCCCTAGGCCTTGGGGCTTTTAAAAAATGTTCTTTATGTCATTGTTTTTGGTACCATGCTTTATCTTTTTAATGCATCTGTGGGATGTAGTTTTATTTTCTTTGGTGTTTGCTGTTAAGCAGGGGTCAGGTTAAAGACTGCCTTTAAAATTGAATACAATTGGGCCCGGCGCGGTGGCTCAAGTGGTTAAAGGTCCTCGCCTAGCACCCCGGGATCCCATATGGGCGCCGGTTCTAATCCCGGCAGCCCCGCTTCCCTTCCAGCTCCCTGCCTGTGGCCTGGGAAAGCAGTCGAGGACGGCCCAAAGCTTTGGGACCCTGCACCCGCGTGGGAGACCCGGAAGAAGTTCCTGGATCCTGGCTTCGGATCAGCATAGCATTGGCCGTTGCGCTCACTTGGGGAGTGAATCATCGGATGGAAGCTCTTCCTCTCTGTCTCTCCTCTCTGTATATCCGCCTTTCCAATAAAAAAAATAATAAAAATAAATCTTTAAAAAAAAATTGAATACAATTAATTGAATGATTTATCCTTTTAATTAGAATACCACGTTGCTTTTTTTTTTTTTCACAGTTTGATTCTTTCTGTCCTGCAGGCGGATGTGGCTGTGTTGGTTGTGGATGCCAGCAGAGGCGAGTTTGAAGCTGGATTTGAGACTGGAGGCCAGACGCGTGAGCATGGCCTTCTGGTCCGATCTCTTGGGGTGACACAGCTTGCAGTTGCAGTCAACAAGATGGATCAGGTATTCAAGGATTTTGTGAGAATTCTAGATGCTAACTACTTTATCATTCTGCCCGTGTAGATGACCTCAGAGGTGATAAGTTCACATTTTTTAAATCAAACTTGCCAGACTTCGAAGAATAAATTCATAGTGATCTCATGTGTAATCTATTGGTAATTTTTAAGTGAGAATCTCTTCTTTCAAAATAAAATTTTAATTACAAAACAATACAGATTTATTATAGAGGAATGAAAATGCAAAAACTAGAAATGACCTCTGTTTCCAACTGTCTTTCCTCCCAGATACCATAATTTTGTATATCCATCCACTTTATTCTTTTTTTTTTTTTTTAAGATTTATTTATTTATTGGAAAGTCAGATATACAGAGAGGAGGAGAGACAGAGAGGAAGATCTTCCATCCGATGATTCACTCCCCAAGTGAGCGCAACGGCCAATGCTATGCTGATCCGAAGCCAGGATCCAGGAACTTCTTCCGGGTCTCCCACGTGGGTGCAGGGTCCCAAAGCTTTGGGCCGTCCTCTGCTGCTTTCCCAGGCCACAAGCAGGGAGCTGGATGGGAAGTGGAGCTGCCAAGATTAGAACCGGCGCCCATTTGGGATCCCGGGGCGTTCAAGGCGAGGACTTTAGCCGCTAGGCCATGCCGCCGGGCCCTAATTATTTTCTTTATACTTACAGTAGTTTCTTACGCTGGGATATGATAAATACTCACCTATATTCTTTTATTAGCCCTTTTGTAGTATCATCATTACATGCTTTTAAATTTTTTTCCCAAGCATCTTAGTTTTAAAAACTTCTAAAGAAATGTTGAAAAAATTCTATCATACTAATTTTTTATCTGCTGGTTAAGAGTCTACTACTTGGGGACCAGTGCAGTGCTAGAACAGGCTTTCCTGCAGCCAGTGGCAGTGGTATCCTATGTGGGTGCTGGTTCGAGTCCTGGCTGCTCCGCTTCTAATCCAGTTCCCTGTTGATGGCTTAGGAAGGTAACCAAGGATATTTCAAGTCGTTGGGCCCCTGCACCCACGTGGGAGAACCAGAGGAAGTGCTTGGCTCCCAGCTTCGTACCAACCCAGCTCTCTCTGTTGTGGCCGTTTGCAGTCTGTACCAGTATGGAAGATTTCTGTCTCTTTCTCCCCCTCCAACTCTTTCATGTAAAATCAGTAAATCCCCAAAAAAAGTGAGAGAGAGACTACTACTTGCTGATCACATTTTCCATTGGCCTGTATACTTTTTCCCTTTTTAAAGATTTATTGTACTTGAAAATCAGGGACAGGGAGAGGTAGATCTTCCAGCCGTTGGGTCACTCCTCAGTTGGCTTTGGTGGCACACAGGCCCTGCTCCAGCTAGGTTTTTATTTGTCTGTTAAACCATTCTATTTGCCATGCATGTTAAGTACCCTAAATGTTGGGTATCCCTTTCTTTAGGATTTTATTATATATTCTTTTTTAGTATGTATGTCTGGGTTGGGTGTAATTATTTTATTTTAGCAATTTACCCACGGACAACTAAATAACTTATTCATTTTTCTTCCCAAGTTTGAGGTAACTTTTAGTAATAATGTGTAAAAGATCTAAATATATTTGACATTGTTTCTAAGCTTTCTGTTTTAGGAAGGATTATTTTAGGTCATATTTATATTAAGACATGATAGTTTGAGTTTTGATTTTAGTGGATTTAACACTTATTATGTTTAATATTTATATTTTATATAGCCTCATTTATACTTTATTGCAGAAATTTAAACTTTATGTGTCATGTTCTGAAACATAGCTTTAAAAATAAATTGGATCTTTGTCAGGTTAATTGGCAACAAGAAAGGTTTCAAGAAATTGCTGGAAAACTTGGGCACTTTCTTAAGCAAGCAGGTTTTAAGGTAAGAGAATCTTAAGTTTACTTCGCTAGTATGTTTAACTCACCTTATTGATCTGCGAGACAGAAAACTAGTACTCATTCTTTACCTGTTAAATATATTTAGTATATTTTGTTTTCATTTGCTAGTATCATATATGTATTTCTTCATTTTGGAAGGAAGAGTTGGGCATGTTTAATATTTGCTTCGGGTTTTGTGTACGTACAAGGCCTTGTTGCCACCTATTCAATGGGATGGCATAGGTTGACGGAGGTCATAGAGAAGTATGGAAGCTTCTAGAAAAGTTTGTTCAACAAGCCTGTAAAATAATTATGTCACCAGATAAAGATGTGTGAGTGTCTTAGAATACATGTACAAGATTCCCACAAAGTCATAAAAGTTGGAGACTGTTGCCTCAGATAACTTGGCATGTAATTTTAAAAAGTATATTTTCTTGAAATTTTATATATATATTTTACACATTTTTTAAAGTACATTGTTTTGCAAATTTGATGTGGTTCTGGTAATAATGAATCTTTTTAATTTCGAAAGATTTGCTTATGCTTATTTGAAAGGCAGGTTTACAGAAAGAAGGTGAGACACAGAGTTTTCCATCCTTTGATTCACTCTCCAGATGGCTGCAATGCATAGAGCTGAGATGATCTGCAACCAGGAGCCAGGAGCTTCTTGCGGGTCTCCCATGTGGGTGCAGGGGCCCAAAGACTTGAGCCATTCTCTACTGCTTTCCCAGTCTGAAAGCAGGGAGCTGGATGGGAAGTGGAATAGCCGAGACATGAACTGGCACCCATGTGGGCGTATTTGTATGTTGAGCTGTCACGCAGGCCTCTCTTTGCATCTTTTTCAAAAATACCATTGAGGTGTTCTTAAAGGTGCAGCGTGTTAAACTGCACTTAGAACATTCACGTCTCTTACTAGAGTGCCTTGTTTGAGTCCCAGCTACTCTGCTCCCGATATAGTTTCCTGCTACTGTATGTTCCAGGAAGCAAGCTTGGGCACTTGAGTCCCAGCTACACACATGCGAAAAAATGAGTTGGATTTCCAGTTTATTAGCTTCAGGCTGGCCCTGTCCTGGCCACTGCTGGAATTTACGGAGTGAACTACCCTGTGGAAGACATCTCTCCAACTTTATGCCTTTCAGATAAATAAAAAAGAAGCATTAAAGGATAAGACAGAGACAGCACTGTGTAAGTTTCATGCTTTTCGTTTGTCTGTTTTAATAGGAGAGTGATGTGGCTTTTATCCCCACAAGCGGTCTCAGTGGCGAAAACCTCATCACAAGATCTCAGTCAAGCGAACTCACAAAATGGTATAAAGGACTATGCTTATTAGAACATATTGGTAAGTCTACTGCCATTCTACATCAGTGCATTATAAACAGTAACAGTTTTAGAGTTCTTTATAGGAAACAGTAATGTACATGAAAAATGATGGGATTCAGGGCTAGCGCTGTGGTGCAGCAAGTTGAACTGCTGTCTGCAGTGCCAGCATCCGCCAGTTGGAGTCCTGGCTGCTCAGCTTCTGCTCTGGAGCCCTACTAAGGTCTCTGGGAAGGCAGTGGAGGATGATGCCCCTATTGCTTCAGCAGAGATTCGGATGGAGTTCCGGGCTCCTGGCATGTGCCCGTGCCTCACTCCGTTCTGGCTGTTGTAGCCATTTGGAAAGTAAACCTTGGAAGATCTTCTCTGTGTGTCTGTTTTTCACTCAAGTAAATGAAGTAAATCTTAAAAAAACAAAACAAACCAAAACAAAAAAACAAAAGCACCCCAAAAACAAAAAAACATATGATCAGTAATCAGAGGGGCTAGGTTGCCGGTGTGGAAGTCATGCTGGATGTTTCAACTAGTACTCATATTTTCTCTTTTAATTAGGGAAGTTAAGCCAGCCCTCTTTCTCGTGGACTATTTTTTAATTGTAAGGAATTATGTAAATGTTAGCATGCTATTAGTGTTTATAAAAAGTAAATATTTTCCAGAGAAACTGGGAATATAATGGATTCATTGGAGTTAGAAAAGTTGCAGTTTGAGTTAAATCCTGCTTTTGTGCTTTCCCCTATAGATTCCTTCAAACCTCCTCAACGATCTGTTGATAAACCTTTTAGATTGTGTGTGTCTGATGTTTTCAAAGGTAAGTGCTGTCTTTTTCATGCTTGCCTGTGTTTTCCTGTCTTGAGAGGGTGTCTCACAGTCACCCTGCTCCATGCCCGTGTTGGATCACTGTCAGTTTTAAAGTGTACAGTTGTAGTCACTTAAGTATACATTGAAGAAACCCTTTGGTTGACAATGTCTCCATCTCACACTCGTCTGTCACACCCAGGTAGATCTCCTTTATCTTCTTCATCTGATCATTTTCCCCTGATTAGAACCCTTTAACTGAGTTTCTTCCAGCCAAATGGAATCATTCACGATTTCTTAATCAGTTTCTGTATTTTACACTTGTTGGTCTTTTTCCTCTCTCTCTTTTTTCTTTTGCTTCATGTTTAACAGTTTGCATCTGGTTAGGAAACAGATACCACACAAAGAGGGTTGTTTATTGTAAAGAATTACTGCCTATGAGAAAAACTGCAAGATACAAGGAAGTACTATGTGGTACACTAGTATTGAGGAAGGGTGAGCTTAGAATGAAAAAGCTGTTCCAAGAATAGCCTAAGAATGTATCTAACTATGTGTTCAAGACCTTACCTAGAAAAGTATAAGCAGAACAGAAAAAAAAATCCTCTTAAATAAAAGAATATGTTTATATATCAGAATCACCAGTCCTGGTGAAGATACTGGTTGTCCACCAAATCTCCACTATTGCAAAGTAGGCAGTAATGAATGAATTTGGAGCTGACTTGTCAATAAGTTGATAATGGAGGTTATACAGGGCCACTTTGGGATGTGCTTGCCCACACACATACTCCAGACTCTCTCCTCTCCACCCTTTGTCATCACTGCATTTCCGTGAAGCATTGTAGTTGTTATTGTGCTGTGTGTTTATTTTACCCAGACTGTGAATCTGTTGAGGAAGAAACTGTCTCTTGTGTACGTGTATGTGCAGAATCCAGCCTAGTGCTTTCTACATAGCGTATGCTTAATGAAGGGGCAAGATACTTTGAAAGAAACCATCCAGTATGATTGACAATTATCGTCATTAGCTTCCAGTGCTCTAGTAGTACAGTAAATGATTTCCAGAATGCCCAATATCTATCAACACTATAAGAGATATTTTCTTTTAGTTAAAAATTCCCCTGAGGTACCATTCTAATGAAATTTGATGTGCTTACTACCTCCTAAAATGTAACTTCTGTGCTGATGTGTCTCATAGACTATTCACATTCACAGGGCTCAACTGGATCTTCTTCCTTCACTTCGTGCCTCACAGTTAGGCGTCATCTCAGAGTTCTCCCGTCTTGCTGTTGTCCTGTCTCATCACTGCACGACATGTCATTCTTTACTCCTTAATTGCTGACTTCATTTGTTTGCTGTGATCCAATTGTAAATTTCCATAGCCTCCACTGTAACACAGACACTGTTATGTCGCTTGTGCAGAGTTCTTTATTGGTTTTCCACTAAATAGTAGGATGAGATTCGTACCCTGAGTACCATTTCTGAGACCCGTTAATTATTTCTGCCTTGTCTGATCTGTTGTTTCATGTCTTGCATTTCCTTCATTATGGCATTTGTCTCTAAGCTCCTGAATGGCACGTGCCTGTTAGTAAATCCCATTGTCCGGGTTTGGCAGTGTCTTCCTTCTAACTGCATACACACTCAGACTACCTGCTACACACCTGGTTAAGGTGTGTAGGTTCTGCTTTTCATGGATTCTTTCGAGTATCTTTTCCTGTTGCATTGTATATCTTAAAGAGCATTTGTTCAGATAACGCAGAGAAGATAATGTTTTTATCTTCAGTGATGTAAACTTCCTTATAGGTAGGGGTTTATAGTGCCTGGTGCTTAGCAATCACTTAAGAAGTATTTGAGAAAGGTATCAACTTCCATTTTTGTGTAATATGGATATTTTTATTTGCAAGAACAAAAGAGCAGATTGTGATATGCTACTGTTAGTAGAAATATTAAAATTTCTGAAGTGTGGTATTAATTAAATTTAAATGCTATTTTTATGGGACTTAGATATGGAAAATTAATTTTGTAATAACAACAGATAATATTGTTGTATAAAATGTAAGATTTTGGCATGTTTTACAGATCAAGGATCTGGATTTTGTGTAACTGGTAAAATTGAAGCTGGTTACATCCAAACTGGTGACCGACTACTAGCAATGCCTCCAAATGAGACTTGTACTGTAAAAGGTATTCATCTGCAGAATTTGCTAAACAGGCCTTAAGTTAATACAGCAGATTTTTAAAAAGTAGTTCAGTTTTAACTCCAAAGTAAATAAGGTGTTAGTGAAATTGTAACTGACTGTCAAAATGATACTGACTGTTGAAGATTAAAATGTGAAAACATTAAACGATTTTTTTCTGTTGTGACTATTTGTGTATATATGTACATAAACATGCTAACTCTGGTAGCATTTTTTTTTACACTGATTAAAGAAGTCTGGTTAAGGCTTAACCAGATGTGTGGGCACCTGATAGATATATTTAAAATTGAATTCTGTAGCAGAAATTAAATCTCTTCTCAGTTTTAATGAGGCAGTGGCAATATAGACTGCTGCAGCCTTATTTTGAAATATGTGTTTCAGAGCAACTGTACATTAATAGCTTGATCCTATTTATGTCAAATATATATGTATATTTCATAAAAAGACCTGCCTGAATAAGAAAGTAAATGCAATTGCAGAAAAACCTAATGTTGAAGTAAGAAATGGAACCACAGACATCTAGTATGTACCAGTGGTCTTCACATTGCCTTATGTCTATATCCTCTAATCATTTAGCTTTTCCTAATGCAAGTTGCTTGTTTGCAATTTTTGAATGAAAGTAATTTTGTGTTTACCTCTTACTTCTAACTAAGCATTAAGATCTGTTCTACATTTGATATTCATAACAGCTTTAAGATGAAGCATTAAACTATTGGAAATGTTAAAGTCTTTTAAATTGTAGTATCTTCCCTCTGTTACTCTTAATTTGTATTTCGTATCTGGAGCTTTGCTTGACTGTTTAAAAATTTGAATGCATATTTTGTTTTAATTAATTTTTCACTCTAAAAGATTTATTGCAGATTATAAGAAATTAATGAATGTCAGGTTAGGAAACAAAGTTTAATCTACATCTAAAGATAAAGAAGGGAATGAAAACCAAAACTTTTTTTTTTCTTTCTAAGTATTTATTTACTTGAAAGGCAGTTATAGAGACAGAGAAAGGGACCTTCCATTTGCTGGTTCATAGGACATTAGTGGTCTGGACTGGGCTAAGCTGAAACCTGGAGCCAGGAACTCCCATTTGGGTCTCTCATGTAGGTGGCAGTGACCCAAGGACTGGAGCGTAGCAACCAGGGCTTGAACTGCCCGTGTGGGATGCCAGTGTTGCTGGTGGAAGTTTAACCCACTGTACTACAATGTGGGCCCTGCTCTTTTTAAACGAATCAATAGCTGCAATATTTTTAAAGTGATAATCATATAAATTATTGCTTTAACCTCTAGTCTTATTGCTATAACCTCTAAAATTGTTATCTGGAGCCCAGCAAAATGGTTCAATTGGTTAATTCTCTGCAAACACCAGGATCCCACATGGGCTCTGGTTCATGTTCTGGCTACTCCACTTTCCATCCAGCTCCCTGCTTTTGGCCTGGGAAAGCAGTGGAGAATTGCCCAAAGCTTTGGAACCTTGTACCCATGTGGGAGACCTGGAAGAACTCTTGGCTTCTGGATTCAGATCGACTCAGTTCCAGCTGTTGCAATTACTTAAGAGAGCGAAGCAGTGCCTGGAAGATCTTTGTTTCTCCTTCTCTCTGTAAATCTGCCTTTCCAGTAAAAACAAATAAGTGATATTTTAAAGATTATCTTTTGCAGGGCAGTTTTTTTAAAAAAATCATATTTGGTCTCCTTTGTAAATCTCACATCCTTACTCCCTCTTCTCTTTTTGATTTTGATTAGTGGCTTCTGAAGAAGTCATCTTAGAAGCTGAAGCAGAAGCACCGTACTCCTTGAGAGTCCCTCTGTTAACTTTGACCAGAGGTTTTTGCTCGTTAGTTTCTAGTTCTGTTGCTTTTGCTTACAGTATCCAGTTACTTCATGAGCACGTCCATCGGAACCCTGTGCACAGCCCCAGTGGCTCTCTAAGTGATCGTTTCTTAAAAACAGCGATATCTGCTACTAACAAGTAGAAATGTCCAAATGATTGTTTCACTGTGTTGACATACCAAGCTCATAAAGAGCCTCTTTTTGTAATGCCTGTCCGATCATAAAAGAGCTTTCTAGGATATGTAACATAGAAAGGATAGTGGAACAAGATTCTGGGGGAGAAACAAGTCATATAATATCTTTGAAAAAGTTTATGTTGTTAATTGTGAAAGTTTTAAGAATACTAAGTCACAATAATTGCTATTATATTTAAGTAGCCATATCAGGTATTAGATAAATTGCTTTAAATTTAAAATCTAAGTTTAATTAATGGATATTTATCCAACTTTCCTTAATATCATAATTGATAACATTTTGGAATAAAGAACTCTTTGATATTTGTTGCGAGTTGTTCTCAGATAAGTACAGACTAAAGTTTTCATAAAATTTAGCTTGTCCTGAAACTCCCTGAAGCTTTGAACCTACTCCTTGCGAGTATGCTAAAGGGAAATACGATATACTCAGAAAGACATGATTATAATTTATTAAAGTATGTCAGTCATTATTTTGATGGTGGTTCTTCTCCCTCCAGTGCTGCGATCCTGTGTCTGAGCACAGGCTTGAATCCCAGCTTCCGTGTAGCTTCCCATCCAGCTCCCAGCCATTGTGCCTGGGAAAGCAGCAGGTGATGTCCCAAGTGCCTGGGCCTCTGGCACAGTGGGCGACCTGGACGGAGGTCCCTGGTCCTTGCAGCCTGGCCCAGCCCTGGCTGTCACAGCCTTTTGGAGGGTGAACCATCAGGTGGAAGATATTTCACTTGCTCACCATGAAAGTGCCTTTTCAATATGTTTTTATTTTTAAAAAAAGACTTGAGTTCTAATGGAAGGGAGTTTAACATGCAGACCTACCTCAGAAATGAAGAAAATAACAAAAAAGAATCTAGATTTTGTGTAACTGACAAAATTAAGTTGGGTATATGCAAACAGGTGGCTACTTACTCGTTGTGCCTCTGAATGAAACTTGCAGTGCAGAAGGTATTCATCTGTAGAATTCTTTTGCTAAATAAGCCTTAAGTTGAGACAGCAAATTTTTAAAAAGTAGTTTAGTTTTAACTCCGAAGTAAATAAGGTCTTAGTGAAATTGTAACTGACTGTCAAAATGATACTGACTGTTGAAGATGAAAATGCGGAAACATTAAGCAATTTGCAAAGCCTTTCTGTGAGGTAACTGCTTGGGACCTGCTCTCTGGATCTGTTTCCAGGATAGCCTCTAGTTAAATATTCCAGTGGCTCTAGGATTCACCTAATTCATATAATTACATTTTCTTGCTACTATTTGCATATTCTTTTTTCTTTTTCATATAAACAGTTACCAATATACAGATCTCTGTCTGGGAAGAGATTGTGTTTGAGTTAAGGAATCTAGAATTCTCATCAAGCAGTCTAATCTTATTGCTGAAATGATCAGTAATCAGCCACTTATGGGCAAATGCAAGTCGCTTCTTGAAGTTTAAGTGGTATTCTAGAAAAGTCGGGTTGAGAGGAAGTGTTTTCCTCAATACTCAGTTATACTTCTCACTCGCAAGCCCATTCATATTGAAAATGATGAGTAGTGGCTGATGAAGCACAAATCAGCCAAGCTTTTTTGATTGTTATGGTTTAATATTGAGGTGTTTCACTGTATTCTTTGGTTCTTACTCATTTCCAGGAATCACTTTGCATGACGAACCTGTTGATTGGGCTGCAGCAGGAGATCATGTTAGTCTTACTTTGGTTGGGATGGATATCATCAAAATGAAGTGAGTAAGAAAATGAATTTAAGCACCCGTTGTTTTGGATATGGTACATGTTTTGCAGTCTGTCAGCTCAATTTTCTAATTTGGCCAAAGATAGACGTAGAAGTATAAGCAAACCCCCCGGCACAGTAGCCTAATAGCTAAAGGCCTCACCTTTCACCCGCCAGGATCCCATGGGGGTACTGGTTCTAATCCCAGCAGCACCACTTCCCATCCAGCTACCTGCTTGTGGCCTGGGAAAGCAATTGAAGTCGGCTCAAGTCCTTGGGACCCTGCACCTTTGTGGGAGACCCAGAAGAGCCTCCATGGCTCCTGGTCTTGGATCAGCTCAGCTCTGGCTTTTGTGGACTCTTGGGGATTGAATCATTGGACAGAAGATCTTCCTCTCTGTCTCTCCTTCTCTTTGTATATCTAACTTTTTAATAGAAAAAATAAATAAATCTTTAAGGAGTATAAGCAAAGCCAACTTAAAATTCTAGTTAATGTAAATCAGCACACATAACATAGGATGTCCTTTGAAAGAAGGCAGTCACATAAGAAAGTAACTGCAGATGACTAATGGTTTAAAGCCAGGACTTATCCACAAAGCATTCGTAAATTCTCTGATATACTTTGTTGATTTAGATATATTCCTGTGTAATACCAGTTTGTCACCAACTACTTTTCCACTTTGTTGTTGTTGTTACAGTGTTGGCTGCATATTTTGTGGCCCCAAAGAACCCATTAGAGCTTGTATGCGTTTCAGAGCCCGAATCCTCATCTTTAACATTGAAATTCCAATCACTAAAGGATTTCCTGTAAGTTTCAAATGTTTATTGAATGCTTTATTTTTGTAAGTTTAAGCTATCTTTATCCTAAAAGGTAATGATTTCCTTTGATAAGTGGCGATATTACATTTCAGTTAATCTTTTTGTTTCAAAAAATGTAAAATTGGAATTTAAAATCATTTTAATCTTGTTTCTTTAGACTAAACACTTTTTCAAAGAGGAATTGTGAAGGCGTTTCATAATTAATAGGATACAAACTGATAATAACAATAAAATTTGTCCGGGGAAAGTGCTAAATAATATTTTTAATGTGTTCTGAGGTTTCCCTATTTTTATATTGAGTCTTAATGGTTTTGTTTTGTATAATATGCTTATTTGCAGCTTTTGTGATTAGAAAAGCAGTAGATTACTTTATGAAATTTCAGAAAATCAAAATGTTCTGTAATTATGTTATTCATAGGTTACATTTTGGTGTGCATATGTTAATACCCCAATGAATTAATATTGATATTTAAGTGTGTTCTAGGAATCTTTTATATATAGAATATTGTAATTTTGCTGGAGCAACAAATTCAGATCCTGCATCTGATGTTGATTTGTGGGTCACCATTGAGCAGTGTCATTTGTATACATAGAATTGATCTTTCAACTTTTTAAAGTTACAGTGTTTTAGATATTGGAAATAAATATATTCAGTTAATCTAAATTCACTTTGTAGTTATACACCTAATTCTGTGATAATTGTATACCTTACTTGCAGTTAAATATTTCTGTAAATTTGAGAGTACGAAATTATTTGTAAAAAAAACTGAGTACTTCAAAAATTTCAATTCGTTTCCTGCCTACACTAGAAAATAAAAGCATGCCTCCAAAAACATGGTTATAATTTCAAATATTTAATTGTAAACATGATCAAGCCTGTGTTGGCTCCGCAGGTAATTCTGCCTGTTCATGGCTAAGGAGTGCATGGAGCTCATTCATAGAAAGCAGTGTGTCCTGTGCGGAGACGGCGGAGAGCTTGATTACTGCGTGTTTTTACTCATGCAATAATAATATTTGCCATTGGAGAAGTAGAGAGGTTAAGAGTTCAGCAGTTACTTTGAATAGTAATACTGTCTTCCTGTCTACTGTAGGTTCTTAAAAATAAGCTTGAATTGAAAGTATCTCATCATTACTTTATGAGATTCTACCTGCATATATTGATTCACAAACACCAGGATGAAATTAGTGTCAGAAAAAAACCAGTCATATGTTGTCAATCAGCTACTCTATTGGGGGAAAAACTTCAAAAACAGTGGCTTTGTAGTCAAGAAAAGGCTTTGTTAGCAATTAAGATGGGGACTAATTGCTTTATACTGCATACATACTTTTAAATTTTACTTAGCTTATATGGTGAAGCCTGTATTTTTTTTAAGAGGAAATATGGAAAAATTGATTAGATTTTAATTGGGTTTAGTTTTTTTTAACCAGTTGCTTGCCAAAGTTGCGCAGCCATTACTTCTAACTATCCCTATAACTTTTTCGAAATTCTAATCTCAAAATCTGTTCCCTGTGATCAAGTTAATTAATAACTTTGCATTATCCCTTGTCCCCATGTCCAGGTAACTACAATTCAGCTTTCTTTCTGTTTTCTATATATTCTACGTCAGTAAAGTAAAATCATACACTCTTCATTTTTGTGTGTGTTTTAATCTCTGAGCATAATGTTTTCTAGTCTTATCCATGCTGTAGCATGTAGTAAAAAACTCATCCCCTTTTTATAGTTTAGATATTTTAAAATTTTTATTTAATCTTTTTTTTAGTTCAAATTGTGTTATATATTTCTTCTTGAGTAAGCTTTCAAAGTTTGTATCCTTCAATGAATTTTTAAATTTAGATTATTGAAGTCATTGGCCTAATTTGTGTGTGTTAATCTTTTTTACAGTATATCTGGTGATGCTCTCCTCTCATGACCTAATGTTAGAAATGTGTCCATATATTCTTTTTTTTTTTAAAGATTTATTTTATTTTTATTGGAAAGGCAGATATACAGAGAGGAGAGACAGAGAGGAAGATCTTCCGTCCGATGATTCACTCCCCAAGTGAGCACAACGGGCCGATACTATGCCGATCCAAAGCCAGGAGCCTCTTCCGGGTCTCCCACGTGGGTGCAGGGTCCCAAAGCTTTGGGCCGTCCTCGACTGCTTTCCCAGGCCACAAGCAGGGAGCTGGATGGGAAGAGGGGCCGCTGGGATTAGAACTGGCGCCCATATGGGATCCCGGGCGTGCAAGGCGAGGACCTTAACCACTGCGCCACCGCGCCGGGCCCAGAAATGTGTCCATATATTCTTAATCAAGTTATAAAATATTAATGATATTTAAGAAAGTATTGAATTTATATTTTTTCAAAATTTTTATTTTTCACGTGAATTCATAGGCTTATTGATTTTTAATTTTTATTGGTTAATATCCTACTTGTTTTCGTCATCAACTGTTGTGGAAGCAGTCTTTATGGTTATTAACACCCATCTCATTTTTAACTGTCTTAATGTAATGTTCTCTTCATTTTTTTTTAAAAAGATTCATTTATTTTTATTTGAAAACCAGATTTTTACAGAGAAAGGAGGAGAGATAGAGGCATTCCCCATCTGCTTGTTCACTCCCCAAATGGTTGCAATGGCCAGGCTTGAGCTGTTTTAAAGCTGGGAGCCAGGAGCTTCTTCTGATCTTCCCATGTCAACACAGGAGCCCCAGGTCTCTGACCATCCTCTGCTGCTTTCCCAGGCCATTAGCAGGGAGCTGGACTGGAAATGGGACAGCAGAAGCTAGAACCAGCACCCACATGGGATGCTGACACCACACTTGGAGGGTTTTGTCTGCTGCGCCACTAGGACCACCCTTCTGTTTGACTTTTTGAAGTGTCTTCCATAGCAGCTGCACCATTTTACATTCTTACCAGCAGTATACAAGGCTTCCATTTTCCTTTCCTTATTAATTCATAAGACTTACCTCGCATTTTCTGGAAGGCTGCTTCTTTTTCTAAATAATAGCTAAACTAAAGGATGTAAAGTGAAGTTGTATGATGGTTTTGACTTGCATTTTTCTAATGATTAATGATGTTTCATGTACTCATTGGACATTTTATATATCTTTTGGAGGAATTTGCTCATTTTAAAATTTGATTATTGTCATTGAGGTATAGGAGTTCTTTATGTGTGTTCTGAGTATTAATCCCTTATCATATACATAATCTGATAATATTCTCACCTAAGAGTTAACGTTTTAATTCTCTTCACGCATGAAAGTTTTACATTTTGATGTTCAGTTGTCATTTTCTGTGCTATTTGTGCCGTATCCAGGTAATCATTGCCATCGCTAGTATGCCGAAGCCTTTGCCTCTATTGTCCTCTCAAGACTTTTATGATTTGAATTCTTATATTTAGGTCATTAATTGGTTTGATTTAATGTTTTATGCAGTGTTAGGTTAATAGTTCATCATCATTCTTTTACCCACCAATATCCAGTTTTCCCAGAACCATTTATTAAAAGGCTATCCGTCCCCTACTGAATGATCATCGCACGTTTGTTGAAAATCAGATAACTATGTATTTCTCTGTAATTTAGAAAGTATGCGTTACCTAAAGGTTTAAGGAAAATCATAATTTACCACCTGACAAGCTTTTTAGCTTGTTATACTTTATCAACACCAGATAATTTGATTTTCAAAACACCACACAAAGCACAATGTCCTCACTCTTATCTGAAAGCCTTCAGGTAGGCCAGCATGTGTCAAAGTTCAGAAATGTCAAGATTTTAGAAAACTAAATGCCCCATCTCTATTATTTCAAAGCCCTGAAAGAGAACTGGCAGCATTATGTGCTCAAACACATCTGTGTTCCTGCACCACAGCTCACGAATGTCAGTCCTGATATCAGTAAGGCTCTTCAATTAGTCCGTATTTATTACCTGAAAGGATTCATCACTGACTGAGAAGTAGTGAGTTTTTGAATTTTTGAGTGCTTAAGCCAGGACTCTCCATCCATCACATTCGCACTGAAACCCAGTCTTGTTTAATAATAGTATTTCTTTTCCTGTTAATACCATGTTGCAGATTGTTTTGAATTATAGATGGATTTGGTTATAAGAATCTATTTCAGAATCTTCATGGTAAAAAGTAATTAAAAGAAAAGTTTATTATGATGCAAAGGTATCTTGAAATTCATGTGTGGAGGAGTCTTCAAAGTTTTTGTGGAAAACTTGTGCTATGAGAAAACTATGGATGGATTTCGCAGTATTTTTACCCCTGAATCAACATTTTTACTTACATTTTTTCCATAAACTTTTTCAAGCACCTGCATATACAATGGAAATTAAAGTGTTCATAGATAATATTCAATAATGTCCTTTTTCGCATGTAGATTTTCTCACTGATTAGTTCAAGTATTTTATTTGAGATGCTGCCTTTCAGTTGGTGTGGAGATGAGCAATACCATAACCTCTTCTTTTTACCATAACCTCTGATTTTACTTACCTTTTTGTTTAAAAAAAAAAGGATTTATTTGAAAAGCAGAGTTAGAGAATGAGAAGCAGAATGAGATCTTCCATCCACAATTCACTCCCCAAAAGGCTCCGACAGATAAAAGCTCCATCCAGCTGTCCCTGTGGGTGCAGGGGCCTGAGTGGTGTGGCCCATCTTCTGCTGTTTTCTCAGTGCATTAGCACTGGGGAGCTGGATTGGAGGTGGAGCAGCCAAAATTTGAAATAGTGTGCATATGGAATGCTGGCATCTCAGGCGGCAGCTTAACTTGTTCTGTCACAACACTGGCCATTTGTTTCAGATCTTACCTGGAATTCGCATATAACTCACAGAGGGTAGAAGGAACTTAGTTTTACATGCTTTCTGTACTCAAATTTGGCAAGCTGTGGAGACCTATCCCTTAGTAACACATGAGCTTAGTAAAGAGAATCCTGTACCTGTCACCTGTACCTGTTTGTTACGGAAAAGATGCTTGTTAGGTATGAAGAGTTGCATGTAACTTATAGTGGTACTGTTTCCAAGAGAGCAATCCACTGAATGCACAGGAGTACTTCTCACTACTTCACCATGCTTTGTGGCATCCCCCTCCTTAAGGGTCACTTACTGATTCTTTTGAGATCTTTAGATTTTCTGGTCTTTTAATGTCATTGAAAAAGGAAAACCAACTTGCCTGTTGGGAGTAATAAGGCGTCATCCTGTCTTTTTCTTTTTAATGACCTGGTGTTTGCAAAGTTCCCATGGTGCGTGCAGGGTCCTCCTTCCATTTCAGGTTTTTGAATCTGGAAACTGGACAGGATATTCCAGAGTAGAAATGTCAGTGATTCTACAAACAGTGCAGTATGGCATTTACAAACCAATTGAACATTGGTATCTGTACTACTTCTAGGAGATTTTGTATTTCCACTGTGTCTACACTCTAGGCATATTACACACTTAAAGCTTGTTAATTGAATGAAAAGGGTCACTATGTTCTGCCTTGGATTAGAACCTGTATAAATCTTAGCTTCCTTTTTTATAAGATGAAAACTTCTCTCTGGAATTTCTGTAGTCCCATGATAAACTGATGTGGGAAGGGCTCGTGTAAAATATAGCTGTGACACATAGTATCTTGTTCACAATAAATTACTTACCTTTTTAATACTAGTTTTCTTTATATGCAAACCAGGGACAGTAATCCCTAATATGTAAGGTCAGCGATTAATGGCGTGTTTACCATGTGTCAGGTACCCCTTTTAAATAACATCAGATTTTCCATGTTCCATGCTCTGCTGGGCATTTGGGGAGGAGAGTATTGCTGGATTACTTCTCCCAAATAGAAGTGATTTGAATGCAGATTGTCTTCCATTTAAATAAAATTTTGTTAGACTATTTAGAATAAATGCCTTAACCTGTTATCTTATTATCCTACATATGAGACACCTAAAAGAGCAGTAAACATACCACTGAAACTTAGAAGTGAATAATGATAAATATTCTGTTTTGAAATACTATCGGAGTTAAAAACTTGCCTGTGTGTGATTTTTTGACATGAAACAGTTCACATTTGTTGAACATCTGCAGTGGCAGTTTGTCGCATCGTGTTGAATTCCCATCACTATGCTGTAAATGCCTGTGCAATTGGGATTCAATCTCACATCCTCTACTACTGTAATTACTGTAATTATAACAACTACAGTTGTTCTAAATGCCAATTCTCTTTTTTTTATGTTATTCCTTTTATTTGTGTTTCACATTTTATTACCAATAGCTAGAATTTCCAGTATGATGTGGAAGAGGGGCGAATGCTCCTGGCTTTCCCCGTCCTGCCGCATGGCAGGAGATCTCTCTCTCTTAGATTTCCTTGGGTCTTTTTTTTACCTTGGAGTCCCCTCCTGTCACTACAGCAGGAGCCCTCTTTCTTTCTTAAATAAATCTTGCCTTGGGCCCGGCCCGGTGGCACAGTGGTTAAGGTCCTCGCCTTGCACGCCCAGGATCCCATATGGGCACCGGTTCTATCCCGGCTGCCCCGCTTCCCTTCCAGCTCCCCGCCTGTGGCCCGGGAAAGCAGTCGAGGACGGCCCAAAGCTTTGGGACCCTGCACCCACGTGGGAGACCCGGAAGAGGCTCCTGGCTTTGGATCGGCATAGCATCGGCCGTTGTGCTCACTTGGGGAGTGAATCATCGGACAGAAGATCTTCCTCTCTGTCTCTCCTCTCTGTATATCCGCCTTCCCAATAAAAAAAATAATAAAAATAAATCTTTAAAAAAAATAAATCTTGCCTTACACACACACACACACACACACACACACACATAGCACTGCCATTGTCCCATGTCTCAGGATCACATTGACAACTTAAATGTATCAAAAGACAAATTCTCTGAATCTACAACAGCTCTCATTTGCACAGTGCTCGGTGAGGTGGCAACGCGCACTGCTGCAGCTGACCTTCCCCTTGTGTAAGTTAAGCAGCCACCTGTTAGAGTCGTGGGGCTCAGGGAAGCAGTGGGAGCTCCCGAGAGTCTGCAGGCAGAGCCCTGGGCTGAATGAGATTAGTGGAAGTTCCAAACCAAAGACTGGCGGTGCTGTGGTGACCTGTGCTTACCGGGACGGTTTTGTCTTAGGTGCTGTTACACTACCAAACTGTCAGCGAACCTGCTGTGATTAAACGCTTGATCAGCGTCCTGAGCAAAAGCACCGGTGAAGTCACAAAGAAAAAGCCCAAGTGAGTGTTTGAGTGCTAAAATAATAAGAGCAATTTAAGCAAATCCATTCACGCTAATTCATTTGTACAGTGTTGGTGGCATAAGAAATCTATTTTTTGTTATTTCAGAAATTGTTTTCCAAGCATTAGATTAAAGGAAATTTTAAATAATTAAGCTTGTGTTTATGTGTAACAACTTTATATTATTTCTGTTGTGTCTGTGCTAGAAGATGTGAATTTAAGTTAGCAAGTTAAATATTTAAATTATATATGTAAATAGTAAATTTTGTATATCATTTCTGTATATATGAAAATTTGATGCAAAAATAAGGGCATTTCAAATACCATTCCTAAGTTGTAATTATGAGTTTGAATTATGTCTAACCACTGGTTCCAAATATTAGGTACATGCTTTTCCTAATTTGTCATCTCTTTTTTTAAAATTATTTTGTTTTGGTAATCTTTACATAGTTGATTAGGGCACAAAGGATCAAGGACTATAGGAAAGTGGGTAAAACCATTGTTTCCACATTCTCTCTTTTTTTTTTCCTGTATCTGTGGCTGGAGGTGGAGAGAGATAAAGGGAGAAGCCCCACCCACCTATCCCAGGGCCCCAACGTCGGGCATGCTCCCAGAGCACTGCTCAAGAAGTTTTGATAATTCAGCAGTTCTGAATTACTGCCAATTTCGCCATTCCAAGCACAATGACATTTCTCCAGAATCCATTGGCTGACATGGTTCACCGTAGAGTCTTTGTTTGCCCAGATTTTCACTGCCAGCACATGGCTGGGGTAGATGATCGATTTGTTCTGTCCTCTTTTATGATACTGAGTGTCCTCTGCAGGTTCTGATGGACTGCCATATCCTCCATGTATACCTGGAATACTGTCTGCTGCTCATATGAGCTTCTGAGGAGGCTCAGCTTTGACACATACACTCCATGGTCAGACCATGCAACCTGCAATTTACTTCATGGTTGGGGTTCAGAGATTAGCATGTCAGTTAGAGGGATCCCCAAAGAAACTTCATCTGAGATGATCCCAGACCTGATTCTTGTGTGTACCTGCCAGTACAGGGTCCAGCACAGTCTGTCGCCCCAATCAGCAATTGCAATTGCTGGGTCAGTTGTTTCCAGCCCTGTGGATCTTTAATGAGATCCTTCCCTATGCTAAGGAGACAGTCTTTAGCACTACTTGTTTTTTCCACGTGGAAAATCTTTTTCTTCTGCTCTAAATCCACCTGGAGCCTCAAGTCATGGGGATCTCCAGCCCACGGGTCCCTGTGATTATCACTTCATGTCCACACCCAGAAATGAGCAGTTTACCTGTGCAAGAATGTCAGCCCTTTTGCAAGGAAGTGCTAGGTAATTAAGCAGTATAAATAAAAACAAAAGAAGAAGAGGTCACTGTTACAACATACAGATTTCTTACCCTAATTCACCTAAAAGCTAGTTGTAGTTTGGCTTGGCTGCTTCAGCTTTGGGGTTTTTCTCAGCTTCAACCCCAGGGGGAATCCCACCCAAAATCCCCATTTTCATAGTCCTTGGGTGTTCCTCATACTCTGCACCTGCACAGGGGGCCAGAGGCAACTGGTGTGTTAGAGGGTGGGCTGCATGTGGAGGGAGGACCTGCACACTGCTGGGAGCCTGCGGTGACCCCACCCTGCCTCTCCTTGGGAGGAAAGGGCCTTGTTGCCTTTGATTCAGAGATAGCTCTTTATTTTTAACCCGAGTCTTTAGCTGCTTACACGAGTGTTTGCCACGATGTTCTGAGAGATCTGCTATCACTTTATGACTAACGTTTCTGGAGGGACCACTATTTTGTAGACAGGATGTTTTCACATGAGTTATATTCTCAGCATCCCGTATGAAGCAACGACCAGCTGGTACATGTGGCCAAGGCAGGACTCAAACCCGATCAGTTGTTTGCATAAACCATATTCCCATGCAGGAGGCGAGTTATTTGACCCAGGCAGTTGATTTGCAGAGCTTTCAGTCTGAAGCTGGCTCATTGTATCTGATCTTGAATTCCCTCATCTCTGCTCCTGCTACAGAGTCCTAGCTTAATAATGCTAGGGCCTCACATGTTTTTCATGTTGGTTTTCCCTGTCACCTCACTGTGAGCCTTGTCCTCTTTCCTTATTTCACACCAGCACCAGTTGGCTGCTCACCTTCATTTCAGTTCAGACACATCATAAACTCTCGTTTACTTCATGCAAAATGGAATTGAACTTTCTCGAAAATAAAATTAGTAAAAGTTGTGAATATATATTTGAAGACTTCGATTTTTTAAGAAATTTAATTGTCCCTGAAATTATTTTCAGCAGAATTTATGATTTCTATCCTCCATCCTTCCGTGGCATATCAGAGTTAAATTGGAGAGCATCTTTAAACTATGTGTTTTTGGAATCTACCTCTTTCCAAAGGAAAGTAGGAGTGGGGTCTAGGATTTGGTGGGTTTTTGTGTAGTTATCTCTTTGGAACTTTTTATAATCTGGTTCATGCCTCAACCCCCTTTCATTTCCTGTCAGGGTTATGTGGTGTGAAAGCCTCTCAAGTGACTTTTGTCCTAAATCTCTGTTGTATGAGAAGGAGTGTGTATGGAGGGAGGGGGAACAACAGATTAGAAATCTTTAAGAAAGAATCTAATAGAAAAGATAGAACATTATATTAATATCTTGTAGAATTTAACCCTAGTTATTCCTTTATTAAATGATTGAACTCAATTTCTTGGCAACAAACGGGGCAGATTTGATCAGGACACTTAACAGAGTTGCATCTGGAAGGGGTGTGTGTGTGCATGCGTGCATTATGTTTGAAATGTCTATGTTTTTTAAGGTTCTTGTTATTAGTTTTACTGTTATCTGTTTGTTCCTTTTTCCCCCTTCTTAATAGGTTTTTGACTAAAGGTCAGAATGCATTGGTAGAACTACAGACACAAAGACCAATAGCCCTTGAGCTGTACAAGGACTTTAAAGAGCTGGGCAGGTTTATGCTACGCTACAGTGGTTCCACAATAGCTGCTGGAGTCGTCACGGAGGTATTTAAAGTGGCTGGATTTTACATCCATGGTTATGGTGTCTCTTTTCTTTACTTTGAAGGATGGTTTTGTTTTGTTTTTTAAAGATTTATTTATTTTTATTGCAAAGTCAGATATACAGAGAGAAGGAGAGACAGAGAGGAAGATCTTCCATCCGATGATTTACTCCCCAAGTGACCTCAACGGCCCGTGCTGTGCCGATCCAAAGCCAGGATCCAGGAACTTCTTCTGGGTATCCCACACGGGTGCAGGGTCCCAAAGCTTTGGGCCATCCTCTACTGCTTTCCCAGGCCACAGGCAGGGAGCTGGATGGGAAGTGGAGCTGCCAAGATTAGAACTGGCGCCCATTTGGGATCCCGGGGCGTTCAAGGCGAGGACTTTAGCCGCTATGCCACTGCGCCGGGCCCTGAAGCATGGTTTTGAAAGGGCCTAAGGGAAGACAGAAATTAAAATTTGTTAAACAGATTAAAAGAAGGCAAGAATATGTTTGATCATAGACATCCCCATAGTGAGCCCTGCCCTCCTTCTCCCCCAGTGAGCCTGCTCTATGTGTAAGCTGAAGGAAATCTGTTGAAAAACCAGTCTGTGCACATGTAGTCCAAGTTACTAGAGGAGAGACTTCCCAAGTCAGATGACCTGGGCAGAACAACTTGGCTTAATAGAAAAGCTCTGATGAGATTTGCATTCATTGACTAGTGGTCAACAGATTAGTGGTGTTTCTGAAACCTGCATACTATATGATGGAAAATTGAATTGAATTTTGTGAAAGTAGCCAAAAATTAACTAGAGAATTTTAGTGATTTTAAATTCCACTCTACCATAGTTAACTTGAATCTTATGAATGCTAGGTTTGAGAGAGGACTTCATGGCTTTCTAGTTATTTTCTGCATGAAATGACTTGGTTTATTTTATTGAAGATATACTTTGAACACAAAAGTTAAGTTGAATCAAATTTCAGTAGCACCAGTGATCATGTGAAATCTTCATTCTGAAGGCTGTAAAGCACCAAGCCTGTGCATCCTGTCCCCCCTCATGAGGGCTTGTGTGGGAGGCATGTCTGCTGGGGACAGGGCAAGCCATCTTGGAGCTCAGCCGCCTGTTCGTGCTTGTGTAAAGCTCAAAAGGAGGGAGCCTGGGATGGGAGGGAAAGGCAGAATGTTTTCTCTGAAAGATTACGTCACTGTCATTCTCCCCTTTTTTGTTGTTCTGATAATACACATGATTTAAATGTAATGGATTTTTTTTTCTTTTACAGATAAAAGAATGATGGGTCAGAATTTCTGCGACATTTCCAAATGCAATGAAATAACTAATCTCCGATTTTCAAGAATCCAGTTATTTATGTAAAGGAGCAATGTGCAACTGAGAAGTTGATATTTTAATGAAGGGAAAAATTATCTGCAAAGGAGTATTTTAATAATCATTCCCACAAAAGTTGCCAAGTTCGCCCCCTAGCAAAGAAAGGCCAATGTTGTACTTTCATTTAAAACACCAGCTTTCCCCTCAAAATGTTAGTGAATGGATTGATTTTGCTGATTGATTTATGCCAAGTATCAGAAACAGTATTAGAAGATATTGAATGATCATGAAATGTCCCCTTCTTCAACCACACTGCAAAATAGTTGCGGTTTTTCTTTTCATCCAAATGCACTGCACAGATTTTAAAGAAAAGTAATTTAACTAGAATTTTGAGGTCATTGACATTTGACCTCAGCCCATTTTTAGTTAACTCTAAGATTTGCTGAAAGTTAAATAGATTACATTTTGTGTTGAGCATACATATGTCTCTCCGACAAGTAAACTCTTGAAAGCTTAATTTGGATTTAGTGGAAGTTGTTTTTCTGGCATCCAAGGTATTATTTAAGTTGTAAAGCCTGCTAATAAAATGCTGTAGTGTGAGCATAACGCACAATGTGTTTTGTTCCTTAAGACAAATATGGAGATTCTCTGCAGTGTTTTATGGGATCTCTTTTCTCTTTCACATGTTTTCTTGCTTGTTGTCTTGCCAGCAGATCAAATTAAGTCTCATTCATTTCCAGGCAAACCTGTTCGCTTCCATTCTTTCTTTCAGAATCGTATTTGGGAACTTAGGCTCATGCATCTTGCATGCCTGTGGTTCTCAGTGCCCTGGGAGTAAGAATCAGGTGTCTCTTTCAAGTTGCAATAGCAAACCCCAAGGTTTACATACTTAGTGTGCGAAGTCTTCACAAAGTTCATGGAAAATGCATGTTATGACAAAAATTATGCATGGGTTTCATTTTTTTTTTTACACAAAAACAAACTTATTTTTTAAAATCATGTTTTCCAGGAAGCCTTTGGCTACCTTCATATTTGTTAAGTGTCCCCTGGGTATGAGGAACTTCAGAGGACCTTTAGTCTGCAGCCGAGTCTGAGGTTCTAATGGTCACACACACACACGTACACATACATACAAATACATATATATCACTCATATATATCTTGCATATATATGTATGATATATATAAATATATATATCACGATGGTATGATTTGTTCATTTATATGGTAAAAGGCACAGATCTTGAACATGCTGTTCAGCGAATGATTGCTAGGTTGAAACAGCTATACTGTGTGTGTCTGTACTGAACAGTTGTCACTTCAGAGTAAACTTGCTGAAGTATGGGAGTTTTACCTACATATTGTATTAATCACAAACTTAGCATATATGTGTAATGGAAACATAACTTCAAGTGACAGGCAACAGAGAGGTTCTGCCTGACATGGCTGCAGCCCTAGCTGAGTGTCAGTGCAGACTGAGCGCAGTGTCGATGGGACAGAACCCCTTGAAATGTTCATGACAGGACACAGTGATTCCGTCCTGGACCCTCCTCTACCCACCCAGGGAGGATGAAGTAAAAGAGCAGCATGTGCTTGCCAGAAGTCCCAGGATGCCCTTGCAGTTGGTGGTAAAGAGAAAGTCAACAGAGTCTTTAGACGACAGTCATGGCAGGGGTAGAATTCCATGTGCTGTTTGGAAAGGGAAATGAATTGGGACAGGGAGCAAAAATAAACTTTCACCTTGTATGTTACGGAAGGATATTGCAGAAGTAAGAATGCGACTTCAACAACTAGTAGTAGAAGAAATGAGTTTATCCATTCTGCATCTTCTAGTTGTGATATAATGCAGTCTTTTTGGGTTGTTTGCATTTATTTTTAGGTGATGGGATGTACTGTAGGGGAAGGATGCTGGCAGTGGAAGACGGGGTTAATCAGGAAACAAGGAGGGCGAGCTGGCATTATGACATGGTGGGTTAAACTGGTGTTTGTGGTGAGTCTCAGCTGCTCCACTTGCAATCCAACAATAATAGAACCAACCCAACTCTAGTAAGAAGAGCCATACCAGTTTGAATCTAGCAGTACCATCAGAATTGGCAGAAGCCAGCGGAGTCCAATGGTACTTTGCAGGATGGTCCAAGAGGAGACATGAGTGCAGCTAACTGCATAATTGCTTGTGCCAGTCCTCTTTTCTGAAGGCCGTTGCCACATTTTGAAGTCTTTATTTCCTGGACTCGTATGACCCCATTGTCCGAAGGATCCAACAGTGCCTGAATTCCAGGAAAAAGCACATTCACCCATTGGCTGCCAGAAATGCCAGCACTGAAGTGGATGTGTGATTGAGGGTTTCCCAACCCTAGGTGCGGATGCTTTTATTTCATTAAGAAACAGTAACACGTCCAGAAAAGCCTGTAGCATGTGAGTGGAATAGTGATCGGAGCACATGGAGGCAAAACTTAGCAGTTTTCTTGCCTATGAGCATCAAGCCTCCTGCAGGTAATGGCCACATGATATCCGAGAACATTGTATTTGCCTTGTTGAGAAAGAGTTGAATATGTGAAGATAAACTACATGGGAAGCTAAATCATGACAGCCAGACCCAGATACTCATACAAGACTAAATAGTGATTGAGCCAAGGGGAATTGACCTTGGGTACCACACTTAGAAGGCAGATGAACAGGCAGACATCAAGTCTGCGCATGGGAAGAATGCACCATAGTTTAGGCAGAGGTACTACAGGTGCACTGAAATGGTTTAGAATACCTTTGAAATGCAACTGCTAAAGTCATGGTAAGAAAAATCAAAAACACTGAGGATCCGACGGCTTCAGGCTTTCCCACGGCACAAAATTCCTAAAGGTGAAGATGTTGAGAAAGAGGGGTTTTAATGCACAGGTTCATTACACAGCTGTGCTGCCATGGATATGGGAGGGTCAGAAAGTTCCAGCAGGTTTTTGAGAAAAGGTTGAAGGAGTGAGTGAGGTGGCAGAATTAAAGACAATGCTCAGATCATTCAAGGTTAAGATTGGGGAGGTGGTGGGAGAAAATTTGGCAGCCAATGTTTGTTGGTGCCCGTCGTTTCTTAGTGTCATCAGGTGAAAGCCACCAGGCCACAAGTGTTGTCAACATTTGGTTGAAGCTGCAGTGAGAGACTTGCACAGCACTGGGGACTGTAAGTGCTTAGTAAGAAGATGTGAATGGGGCTTGCACAGTCATCCCTGGTCGGTGATTTTGACGGGGCTCATGGGATCCACAGTTTTCTTCTAACTTGAGTGTTGTTGGTAAGTGTGTGTGTGTGTGTGTGTGTGTGTGTGTGTGTGTGTGTGTGTGTGTGTGTGTGTGTGTGTGTGTTGGGGAGGCTGGGGAAAGGTAACTGCAATGATCAAGAAGTTGAAGTTACTCATGTCAACCACAAGAGGGAGATTGTAGCCATTTTTCTGGCTTGCAAGTGTTCTTTTTGTCTGTGGTCAGGCGCAAGTACAGTGTCTGTTAGGATCACAGAGTGACCTTGTCTGATAGCTTAGTTGAAAATCTTTAACCTTCAGCAAACAGTGGCATAACCATGAGTTCCAGACTAGCTCTTAACTGTCAGAATCTGTTCTCTCTCACAGTGAGGCTATTCAAATATGTAAAATAGCAATGTAAATATAGTTGTATAAAGCAAAACAAAATAATTAATGAATTAAAGTATAACTTCCAAATATGACATAATATATAAGGAAAGAAAATGCATTCAGCTGTTGCCAACATGGTGCCATAGTATGCTAATCCTCTGCCTGTGGTGTCAGGATCTCATATGGGCACTGGTTTGTGTCCCAGCTGCTTTACTTCCCATCTAGCCTTCTGCATATGAGCTGGGAAAGCACTGGAGGATGGCACTAGTCCTTGGGACCCTGCACCTGTGTAGGAGTCCTGGACCCCGGGTTCAAATCAGCTCAGCTCTGGCTGTTGCGGCAGCTGAAAGACCCTCTGTCTCTCTGATCTCTTTTTGTAAAGTCTGCCTTTAAATAAAAATAATAAAGAGACTGCATTAAGTTGCTGATAAGAGTGTATTTTGTTTGTCATTATGATAATCACATAAAACAAATTTTAAGAATGTTTAAGATAACTACTAAAGAGTATGACAAACTGTACCAATGCAAAAGACAGAAGCAGTGAGAACTGTTTTGTAGAGCAAAAAAGAGTAAATCAAGTGGACACAAAGATTGAAATTAATGCAATAAATAAAAATATTTTTAAAAGATGGATTCAAGCTGTAACTAATGATATGCTATTCACAAAAATATGGAAAAAAAGAAATGTGGGTTGAAAGAAAATAGGGCACAAATGTGTGGTGAGAAAATCTATGATCAGTTTGTTGGGTTTCTTTGACATTCCAGACATTTTTTTAATGAATTAATTAATCTTTAAAATGATGATTACATGGTTGATCAGGGTGGGAAAGATCAAGATTTAAGAAAAATTGGGTGATTTCATTGCTTCCAGACAATTTCATACACTAGTTATTATTTTATACAAATTCCTTAAGATTATTTTTTTTTTAAAGAAAATTGAGAGAGAAATCAAGCTGCCCTTCACTGACTGACTCTCCAGATGCTTACGATGACCTGGAATTGGGCCCAGACTGGAGCTGGAGCCGGGAGCCTGGTGCTTAACCCAGGTCTGTGTGTGTGGCAGGGCTCTGCTGCTGCTTGCCAGGGCCTGCATTAGCGGGAGCCTCTAGTCAGAGCCAGAGTGGGCCGTTGAACCCAGATACCCTGCTGTGCAATGAGGGCCTCTGATCTGACATTTAACAACTAGCCTAAGCTTACTCATCAGACAGGTTTTTAAATCACCCAGCATAATGTCTAAGTACCCAAGTATCTGGGTTTTCTGATAATTGTTTCTCATGGTCTGTACATTAGCAATTTGGTGTTAAGTGTCAGTGTTGTGAGTTAAAGGGACCCATTCTTGGGGCAATGACAAAATCAGATCTTAGAGCCTGCAAACCACGTGTCATGTCAAGCTAATCCACGCCTGTGAAGCCCCCTGGTGACAACACGTGGACATTGTCATGTGAGGAATTTAACCTGTGCTTTGATGCATTTCCCAAATGTCTATTTTTAAAATTTGAATGTATGCATAATAATGAAGGTTATTAACAGGTCAATCATAAAAGTAAAGACTAAGACAAGAGTTTCCAAATGTAACCCAGTCTTCTAAAGAACTGCTAATAAAAGAGAGAAGGAAATCCAAGATTTCTTGGGAGAAAAGTCAGGTCTGCTGAAGTACAAGCCTTCAGGAAGCAGCTTGTGGTGACAGGTGCTCCTGGTGTGCGGAAGGACAGCCCGTGCCAGGCTCAGCCGCAGAGCTCAGAGGCGCCTTCACCGCTTTCCTCACTTGCCTTTGCAAGCTCTTACTTTTCAACTCTTTTGAATATGAATGCTCCCTCACTAGGTCTGTAAGTCTTCTCAAATCATTGTGGAATGCAAAATAAATCAGCTATATGAAAACCTGCTGTTCAATCCGTGACAGACGTGTCATATCTGTGTTATACAAGTATTCTTCAAAAAGTTTGTTGGAGGGTGGAATGAAAGGCACATTTATCTAGGTGCAGAAGTTTTGAAATG